AGTAACTGGCGGAGAACTGTTTGATAGAATTGTTGAAAAAGGGTCATATACAGAGAAAGATGCTTCACATCTCATACGACAAGTATTAGAGGCAGTTGATTATATGCATGACCAGGGTGTTGTACATCGAGATCTTAAGGTATGTGGATATTCAGGGGAATTTTTGTATGATGTATATGCAGTTAGCAATTGAATATTTTTAAGTACTATAAGCCAGTTATGTTGTTATATTGTAGTATTCCTTATAGATTATGATTTTTTTCACATGAATCAGTTACATTGGTGCCTGTCATAAACTATAATTATCATTTCCATTTTTTTTGGTTGTTTTTGCTAAAATTCTAAAATGTAAAGCAGTGTATTGAGAAAGATGTAGATTGTAGGAGATATGAACCATTTTTCCCAAAGCAGTAATGTTTTCAAATATTTACCCCTGTTTTGATTTTTCAGCCTGAAAATTTACTCTACTACAGTCAAGATGAAGATAGCAAAATTATGATTAGTGATTTTGGGCTCAGCAAGATGGAAGATTCTGGCATCATGGCAACAGCATGTGGCACACCTGGTTATGTTGGTAAGCCAAATTCCATTATTATCATGTGAAAAAGACGAGTACCGAGTGTTAATATAATAGTATATTCAAAATCTGGACCATGAGAAATTTAATTATGTTGTTGTTTAAGGGCCTGGTATTTTCATTTTCTAATTACTAAATATGATAGATAGCTTTGAGTGTCAAGAGTGGCACATTCAGACACATAATTTGCTGCAAACTCATAAAGGCACAAGCATATGAATATAAATTTGTAGACATAGTGCCATGTGTACATGCAAACAGTGCAAACATCCTTTAATGACACTGTGCACTGCTGAAAAAAAAAATCTTCAAGGACACAGATATTTCATGCCATCAGTATTTAGCAGTAATATTATTTTTCTCTTATATGCTTTTGTATTCCTAATAACCAGAACCATTAAAACCAGTTAAGGGTAAGAGGTCTTTTTCCCAAAAGCTTATGCTCAGGTCTTCATGAGGTTATTTAGCATAGTTGTATATATGTATATTTTTTTTATTTCAGCTCCAGAAGTGTTGGCACAGAAACCTTATGGAAAAGCAGTAGATGTATGGAGTATAGGTGTAATTGCATATATTCTTCTATGTGGTTACCCTCCATTCTATGACGAGAATGATGCAAATCTTTTTGCACAGATTCTTAAAGGTAAGAGTTTGTTTCATTAAGTTTTGGTGTGCTCATTCAAAATGAAATGCTTTCTCAAAAACTGGAATTTTTAAGGCTGATGTTTTCAGTATAGACAAAAACAGTGTTTTGAGCATTTTCCTGATGAGGGGATTAATAGATTTCAATATATCTTAAAGGCAAAAATATCAACTTTCAAGTTACTTATTGAATTAGATTTTGAAAATGACTTCTCTGATGTGTCTTATTTGTTTTTTGTATATTTAATTATTTTAAGTATATAGCTACCTTTCCTCTGAACACTAACACAGATTTTTCATTTCAGAGTAACTGGCGGAGAACTGTTTGATAGAATTGTTGAAAAAGGGTCATATACAGAGAAAGATGCTTCACATCTCATACGACAAGTATTAGAGGCAGTTGATTATATGCATGACCAGGGTGTTGTACATCGAGATCTTAAGGTATGTGGATATTCAGGGGAATTTTTGTATGATGTATATGCAGTTAGCAATTGAATATTTTTAAGTACTATAAGCCAGTTATGTTGTTATATTGTAGTATTCCTTATAGATTATGATTTTTTTCACATGAATCAGTTACATTGGTGCCTGTCATAAACTATAATTATCATTTCCATTTTTTTTGGTTGTTTTTGCTAAAATTCTAAAATGTAAAGCAGTGTATTGAGAAAGATGTAGATTGTAGGAGATATGAACCATTTTTCCCAAAGCAGTAATGTTTTCAAATATTTACCCCTGTTTTGATTTTTCAGCCTGAAAATTTACTCTACTACAGTCAAGATGAAGATAGCAAAATTATGATTAGTGATTTTGGGCTCAGCAAGATGGAAGATTCTGGCATCATGGCAACAGCATGTGGCACACCTGGTTATGTTGGTAAGCCAAATTCCATTATTATCATGTGAAAAAGACGAGTACCGAGTGTTAATATAATAGTATATTCAAAATCTGGACCATGAGAAATTTAATTATGTTGTTGTTTAAGGGCCTGGTATTTTCATTTTCTAATTACTAAATATGATAGATAGCTTTGAGTGTCAAGAGTGGCACATGCAGTCACATAATTTGCTGCAAACTCATAAAGGCACAAGCATATGAATATAAATTTGTAGACATAGTGCCATGTGTACATGCAAACAGTGCAAACATCCTTTAATGACACTGTGCACTGCTGAAAAAAAAAATCTTCAAGGACACAGATATTTCATGCCATCAGTATTTAGCAGTAATATTATTTTTCTCTTATATGCTTTTGTATTCCTAATAACCAGAACCATT